CATTTGAATGTAACAGGTGTAGACTATATGGCCAATAATTTTAACAGGTTACTTCAGATGGTGTTCCACTGAAAGTGTAGTTTGTTTGTTCACCTGTACTGCTACTAGGGGAGTTCATTTAGAATTGGCACAGGACTGTCTGCAGAAACAGTTTTTTACAGCGTTTCGAAAATTTGCAGCTAGAGATCCTGTCCGAGATTGATGATTTCGGATAATGCCACAAATTTTGTAGCAGGTGCTCAACATTTGAGTTAAATAATTGTAACGATGTTCAATCTCTGTTAACCCAGCGAGGGTGTACCTGGAAATTTATTACTCCTAGAGCCCCTTGGCAGGGGAAGCTGTACGAAAGACTTATACGCACAGTGAAGCAGTGTCTCTGTAAAGTACTACACCAGAAGAAAATTAAAATTTTGGGAAAAAATTTCCCTGCATGTTAGTGGAGGCGGAAAATCGGATAAATAATAGGCCCTCTCGTACATGAGTGATACACCTGATGCAGATGTATTTAAAACCCCTTTTCACCTAATATGTGGAAGGAAATTGGAAGCTGCCTCTGTCTATAGAGATAATCCGGAAGAAAGTGATGAAGATTACAATGATGCGGCAGTGTTGTGTGATAAATTTAAAATGTTAAATAAAGTAATTGATCATTGGTTTAATGTGTGGCGTAAAGAATATCTTCTTACTCTACATGAACACTTTTATGGTGCGACAGAGGCAGTAAATCGACAGAACATTCAACCAGGTGACATTGTGTTGATTGATACTGAACAACATCGAACATTGTGGCCTCTGGGCAAAGTATTGACATTGTACCCAGATGCACAAGGTGTTGTCCGGAATGTCAAAGTGTTGTGTCGTGACCAGGAAAGTTTATGCACAATTAATAAATTTATTCCCTTTGAATTAAATGGTATTCAATCAAACATAAATGAAAATCTGAGGGAAAGTGACACGAGTGATATTGAAGATAACGCTGACCAAGTGATGCCGGAAGTTAAAATCGTGGTAAGACCTACTAGGAGAACAGCTACTCAAGCCAGAACCGGCTGGAATCGTCTCCTAAAGGAACGAGTAATTTGAGATGTTTAGCAACAAACTCCGGCCAGCCGCAGTGTGGAAAATAATGTATTTTCCGGAAAAAATACAGTGTATTTTTTATGTAAATTAGTGTAATACATTGTATTTAATAAAATTTATGTTATAAAAAATGGGAAATTCTGCGTCTGCGCAGAAGAGACTCGCCATACGTGAACTAGTCAACACAAACGTTAGTGAATAATCGGAAGAATTTTCGTTGCTCTAGACGTTAAATTGGGCTGATACCTATCAAATAGGAGCCGAAATTGTTGGATGTGCATTCCTGCATAACTTGAGATATCAGATGACTGGACAAGACAGCTCCAAGAACCTCAGATAAGCTATCTAAATTTGTGTTATAATTCTGGCCAGCATTATCTTGAAAAAATTTGTTTAGAATGAGTATCCCCTCAAGGAAGGTTCCTTGATGTTGGTGAGGGGCTCTTGATTTAGGGAATTGGATTTGTGCTCCAGTTCCCCGAATTAAGCCTGAATGCCTTCCACATCCCCCCCCCAGGCGCTGTATAATCCTCTGGGTTTAGCGCTTCCCCCTTGATTATAATAATAATTAGAATGAGTATGATGAGTATGAATTGAGTATGATACACAGTAATCTCCAGTCAAATTGGTGAGTGATATTAAGAAATATTCTCCTTCTGTTATATAAATGTGTATAGATAATCATTTATTAATTTAATATACAGTCCAAAAATTTATATTTTTACCAGAATTCCTGGTGATGCATATTTTATTTGTAATTAATAGGTCTAGAGCAACTTGTGGGTATGACAAATGGTAGGTATCGAAGGGGAACATTTTTTGTGACCTAGGTGTGCCAAAATTCCTACTTGTCTATGTAACTTTGATAAGTAATAATTATCTTTGTTACCATTTACTGGTATGTACCTTATGATGTACCTTATGATGTACCTTATGAGTTACATCCAGATAAATGTAATGTTCCATATATTCTATCGAATTAAAGCCCAAATTTATCTATTAATGAACCTTTACAAAATTTCCTTTAACAACAATTTAATCTCAGCCTCGTGACAAGAACCAAAGCTGGATTCCCGTCACCACGTGTATGACCAAATGTCAACAAATGCCGACCCTAACTCTTATAGATCTGTTGCATTTGATTAATTTCAGCGACTCTGTTTTGAACGTACACATCTTACTATTAGCATTATGAATCCATTGTAAGGGCACCTCATTATCAGACCTAATGACAGTGTTGCTAAAATTTATCTCCTGCAATTTATCTTTACATAATTACCTAGTTTAACACCGATGTAAATGGCTGTTAATTCCAACTGAGGAAATGTACGCACTTTAATTGGAGCCGTTTTAGCTTTAGATATAACAAGAGAAACATAAAATATTATATTGAATATAAACAACTGCTCCACAAGCCTTTAAGCATCACATAAAAATGTGTATTATCACCATCTTGATTTGCTATATTACGTGGGAATTCCAACAGTCGTATGTTTACATAACATCTATTAATTCTTCCCACATTTTAATAAATTCTTTATGTAGGGCTTCATCCAAAGCACATTTAAGTCTCCATGCTTCTTCCATTATAAATTTCCCTTTTATTGTAAGGAGTGACACTAAGCCCCGTGGATCGAAGCATTTGGGAAACGTCAGCAAGCAAGACTCTTAATCCATTTATTAGACATAACACAATTATTAGATTATAACAATAACAAATATTTACTGCTCCATTTAGTTATTAATTATTAGAGCGAGGAAGCTTACCATATATTACATGGCCTCCTGCTGATTTAGAAGATTGACACCACATATCCTTACCATACCCTTGACAAATGTAGCATAATAATCACTCCCTATCAGAAGACTTATTGGCCCCAACGAGTCACTACCCACACAAGAGAGTGCCAATTCTACACCAACCTGTGAAAGTCTTTCAGTAGCTTCACTAAGCCTATTGTAGAGATTTTCTGTGGGAGCCTATCAGCTATGACTGCAATGATACTCTTTCTCTCAGTGCTCAAGCCGACATTTACATACACAGTGTCGTACAACTGGGCCTTTTAATCTGACAGAAAAAACAGATCATTTTAGATTTGTAGAATCCCCCTTTTGCAGTTTCATACCAATAAGGCAACTATATCTTTAAATGCGCCTTTTTATACCGAATTTTCACATTCTCCACGGGTAAGGTTACTTCAGCTATACCATCATCATTAACATTAGCTACAATCTTTATATTATAAACTGTTTGTTTCAGTGTTAACATCATTTTTATCATTTTATCATTATTATCATGATATCATCATTATCATCATAATTATCATTATACAAACCCTTATACATTACTACATGATGCCTTCATGACTGCCTAAACATCTGATACATCTGCCAAGTTCCTCTAATTTTTCCACCTTAACATCATGGAGAAATGAGTACCCTTATTAACTAGGCCACTTTCATTAAGATAATTATTCCTCTTAAATTGATGTGGAGAACCATTGTTTTGGGTTCCTGCCACTTGATATGTGCCTATGCAACCCTTTTTATGGGATGAATTATGATGATTATTACCATTAGTATAATTTTTCCATTTGTGAGACCTGACAGATACATCATAGTCATCATGTGTTTACATTCTTAGAATTATTTAGTTTGGCTTCTCTGTAACTGGACAGTTAATTGTTATAGACCTAATCTTATTTCCTCCAGAGAAAAATAACCTTTGTGGTATTTATTAACATCCACTCTATATCTTGCAGTTTAATTTATTCTGTAAGACGTCACTCAATATCCAGTCTGATTTATCCAAATCAAGCTAATTACTCAAAGACTTAAGAGTGCTTTCTAATTTAACCCTAAAATTGTTGCAAATTATGGTAATTGTGTTCTGGAGTTCTTAAATTAATCACAATATTTACTAGGTCTAACTTACTTTACTCCTTATTACCAAGTCCAACTGCCTCCAGGTAAATAGAGTCAATATTTTGGAACCCATGAATCAGGCATAAGCATCGCTTCTGAACCTGCCCTTTGAGATAAAATAATTTTGTGACTTCTGCTAGGTCATTATTCCTCACATGTATAGCAGCCTTTAATACTGACCAGAATTCCTCCCAGTTGTCTCCTGGATTAAATGTTAGTAGACTTAACTCTGGTATTTTGGGCAAAGATCTGGCATTTACAATTATTAAAATGCTCAACTGAAGTATTTCCATATTTTAATTAATTTAATAGCTCACTTTTACATGATAGTATTTTCTCTTCCAGTTCATAATATTGATTAATTAATAATTCCCTCTCACCATCATTATCTGCACAATTCACCAGCAAATCGTCATATTCTGTGTAATACAAATAATATGGCACATACCTATTTTCTAATGATTCCAAATATAATTCTAAATTAACCTTATTCACATTTTTTTCTGCCACCAATTCCAGGAATTTACTATATGCTCTGGTCACATGACCTATTTTTTGCATTTAATGATGTTTTGCATTTAATGTTTTAGACCGAAAAAGGCTAAAATATTAAGAGATAATACATAGGTGGGGTGGTGGTAGTAGTAGTAGTAGTAGTAGTAGTAGTAGTAGTAGTAGTAGTAGTAGTAGTAGTAGTAGTAGTAGTGTACAGATAAGTGGTTTTTAAGGTTTGAACATGGCACTGAAGTAATGATTAAAATAACATATATTGTGGAATTTAGAGAAATCACTTCAGCTAAACTTCCGTACTATGTGTAGGGATGTGGCAGCTTGGAGAGATTTTCGAGTTATTTTATCTGAATACTTGTGGTAAGACAAATATTCAGTGACTGATAATGAATGAATTTTCTAGTCGCTTTACAACTGTGGAAAACGACTAGTACAATAATTTTTCTTTTGGAGAATTTTATATTATTTTTTATTTTCTTCAGTACATAGAAAAACGCTTCAAGTCGTCAGCACTACGTAAACTGCTGACAGTGTGTCAGCTGCTGATGAAGTTCTTCTACATGGGAATCTGCTTATACACACCATCTCTGGCTTTATCCACCGTCACCAATCTGACAACCACAGCATCGATGGCCATTATGGGTGCTGTATGTACAGTGTACATAACCATTGTAAGTATTAATACATTCTCAAGAGTACTCTATGTAACTATTATTCCTTTTAAAGTTACAATTCCTAAGAATCCTATGTGCCTTTTACTAATGGATTTAATAGAACTTGGGAAGAATTTAATAATACTACATTGGGCAAATAATAAATTTTAAAATTCTTAATCTTTGGGGGTAGAATAGTTTTGTTCGTGGGTTTTGGAAAGGACCGTCTAGTTTAGGCCAGCGGGTCCTGCTGCAGTGTTCCCTTTATTATGAGTCGCGCGTCAGTGTTGCGTGGGGTTGTGGAAGTGATAACAATGAGGGTGTGGTCTCTAGACCCTCTCATATGCCTTCCTCCTGATGCATTAACTTTTAGTTGTTCCCCTGATAATGTTAGTAGTCACGAAAGAACTTGGAATTTCTCTATTCTCTCTCACAGTGGTTAGTGTTTCACTATTCTGAAATCACCTGTTTACTGTGATCCTTATTGCATATATATATAAAGATATATATATATATAATATATATATTATATATCATATATATATAACTACATATATATATATAAATATATATGAACATAAGAATGAAGGAACACTGCAGAAGGCCTACTGGACCATGAAGACGGTCCTTATCAAAAACGCTCCTCTAAATACTGCTACCCAAGACATAAGCTCCTGTACTCACCAATGACACCAATCAAACCCAGCCCCTCCCACTCATATATTTGTCCAGTCCTTCTTACAGCTACCAAGGTCCCTACACTCATCACCCCCACTGGTAAGAACTGTTTCGCACGCATCTACAAACTCTGTTAGAAAACCAGTACTACCTATGTCCTTCTCTAAATCTAAATTTTATCTAACTTAAATCTCATTATTTTTTCTGGTTCTCCTGGTTCGACACCCTCAGTACTTTACTATCTCCCTTGTTTATGCCCGTCATCCCACTTATACTTTCAATGATATCTCCCTCCAATCTCACGCCTATCCGAGAGTGGAGATTTTTAAGGCTTTAAGTCTATCTTCAGACGGGAGGTTCTTCACACGGTAAATCATTTTTAGCATTCTTCACTCTGGATATATACATATATATATATATATATATATATATATATATATATATATATAGAATTATATATATATATATATATATATATATAATATATAAATATATATAATATAAATATATATATATATATAATTATATTATATATATATATATTATATATATAACAATATAAATATATATATATATGTATATTATATATAATAATATAGATAATATATAATATACATATATATATATATAATATATATATAGATATATATATATAATATATATAAATATATTAATATATATATATATATATAAATATATATATATGTCGTGGTGCCGAATAGCAGAACTTTGCGATCTTGGTCGTAATAGCAACGTCATCTTGCCATATAGGCAAGTGAAAATTTGTGTATGCAATAAATTCGGCCGTAATCATTCTGAACCTAAACGAAAAAAAAAATATTTGATTGTGTTCGTTTAGTACTAAATTCCTGTAAAACGTAATTATAATATAGTAGTTGGGTTAGGCAAAATAAAAATTGCTCTGTTATAATAAGGTTAGGTAAGTTTCTAAGATCGTCTTGGTGCAAAATTAACAATTTTTTTGCATTAAACATTAATGAAAACAAATTATATCTTTAAAGGCGGCGTTTAAAAAGAAAAATTTCAGAAAGGACTTAATTTTAAAATGAGTTGTTTCTAAATTGACCAGTTTTACCATAGTCGGCACGACATATATATATATATATATTACTATCATTATTATTATATCCACCTGGCCGATTCCCACCAAGGGGCAGGGTGGCCGAAAAAGCGAAAAACTTTCACCATCATTCACACCATCACTGTCTTGCCAGAAGGGTGCTTTACACCTACAGTTTTTAAACTGCAACATAACACCCCCTTCAAGTGCAGGCACTCTACTTCCCATCCCAGGACTCAAGTCCGGCCTGCCGGTTTCCCTGAACCCCTTAATAAATGTTACTTTGCTCACACTCCAACAGCACGTCAAGTTTTAAAAAAACCTTTTGTCTCCATTCACTCCTACAAACACGCTCACGCATGCCTGCTGGAAGTCCAAGCCCCTCGCACACAAAACCTCCTTTATACCCCCTCCCTCCAACCTTTCCAAAGGCCGACCCCTACCCCGCCTTCCTTCCACTACAGACTGATACACTCTTGAATTATCTGTTTCGCTCCATTCTCTCCACATGTCCGAACCACCTCACAACCCTTTTCCTCGCCCTCTGGACAACATTTTTGGTAATCCCCGCACCTCCTCCAAAACTTCCAAACTAACGAATTCTCTGCATTATTTTCCCACACCACACATTGCCTCGGACATGCCCACCCCACTGCCTCCAGCCTTCTCCTCGCTGCAACATTCATCACCCATGCTTCACACCCATAAAAAGCGTTGGTAAAACTATACTCTCATACATTTCCCTCTTTGCCCCCCAAGAACAAAGTTCTTTGTCTCCACAGACTCCTAAGTGCACAACTCACCCTTTTCCCCTCATCAATTCAAATGATTCACCTCATCTTTCATAGACCCATCCGCTGACACGTCCACTCCCAAATACCCGAATACATTCACCTCCTCCATACTCTCTCCCTCCAATCTGATATCCAATCTTTCATCACCTAATCTTTTTGTTATCCTCATAACCTTACTCTTTCCTGTATTCACTTTCAATTTTCTTCTTTTGCATACCCTACCAAATTCATCCACCAATCTCTGCAAATTCTCTTCAGAATCTCCCAAGAGCACAGTGTCATCAGCAAAGAGCAACTGTGACAACTCCTACTTTATGTGTGATTCTTTATCTTTTAACTCCACGCCTCTTGCCAAAACCCTCGCATTTACTTCCTTACAACCCCATCTATAAATATATTAAACAACCACGGGGACATCACACATCCTTGTCTAAGGCCTACTTTTAACTGGGAAATAATTTCCCTCTTTCCTACATACTGCTAACTTGAGCCTCACTATCCTCGTAAAAACTCTCACTGCTTTCATAACCTACCTCCTACACCATACGCCTGCAACATAGCCACAATTGCCCCCCTATCCCTCCCCTGTCATACGCCTTTTCCAAATCCATTAAATGCGCGCCGAAGACCCTCTTTAGCCTTATCTAAAGACGCTGTTCACCTAATATGCTTTCACTGTAAAACACAGGTCCACAAACCCCCTACCTTTCCTAAAGCCTCCTTGTTCATCTGCTGTCCTATTCTCCCGTCTTACTCTAATTCCTTTCAATAAAACTCTACCATACACTTTGCCAGGCTATAACTCAACAGACTTATCCCCCTAGAATATATATATTACTATATAGATATATATATATATAATAATTATAACTAATATATATATATATCTATATAGTATATAAAATATGATAATATATTTGGCCACTACATATATATATTAGTATATATAATATATATATATATATATTATATATAATAAATATATATATATATATAGTATATATAATATAGTAATATATTATATATATATATATATAATCAAAGGGGTCCACCCTGCTGTACATTGTGGACCCATCTCCTGTCGAGAAGTGGATAAAAAGGCTTCCAGGATGAATATTTGGATTCTTCCTGAAGCCTATAAAATATTCCACTTCCCCTACCACTCCCATCTTTTAGTATATATTTTTTTTACCAATAGGAATATTTTTATTAACATAATATGGTACAGAAGATTTAAGAGATACATTGTTGAAATCATAGGTGGCATAGAAGGTACATGTTGTTCTACGTGTGTATCACCGACTTAAGGCGAAAATCCACATCTGCTCCTCAGAGGCTGGGGCGTGTGCCCCAAATACAGCAGCATTAACCCTTTGAACAGCCCACCTGAGGCCGCTGGAAACAGAAAACTAGCGTTGCCCTGGGCACCCTATACCCGATGAGTCATTTTTTCCCAGCTCTAAAGGAATTAGAAGCACTCATTCCCATGAGCCAAGGGTCTCTGAGCCTATGGGAACAAACATATAATATGGGCAAGTAACCCATATTTTCCTAGACTTTTTGGGACTTCCCGAAGGTGGCAGCTGCCCCTCCCTTCCTCCTGGTGTATTGGAGATAGGTATCAGCCAAGGTAGACTGCTCATGTATAGTCCACGCCACCACCGATGCTTCCCATCTGTCCAGTGCTTGAAGGTGATACCAACTGGACGCTTCTGGCTCGCCATCAGGCATCTTCATAGTTGGGGTGGCTCCCCCTTACCGCGGGGCATCCAGCTGTGTGAGGATCCTCTGTGATAATGTTATTAACCTCCTCAAGTCTTGCAATCTTTTCCCTGCGAATTTACGGCACGCGCACAAGACCAGGGTACCCGAGATACGGTCTGCTCATCACTGCCACAAATATAACACTGTGTTCGGCGAGATCAAGGGGCCGGCACAGAGTCGAAGGGCAACACCGATGCTGACGGTCTGTGGGTCGAGGCTGTGCCAAGGCTGGATTGGGAACAGCCAACAGAAAGTCCCCCAGCATGAGGGGCCTCTCACATGCGAGCCAGGGAGCGGCTCTATCCTTCCCTGACACACTCTGAAGCATTGTGAGGCTATATCTTTCCACCATTGGTACCATCCCAGTGCGATTGTTATGTAGTTGTTTGGGGGAGCAGGTCTGGTTTCGAGCCCGTAGTTATCCAGATTCCCATTGCTCCGCTCAATGAATTTTGTTGGTCCTGGACTCCAATCTTGTCCCTAAGAGGTTCAGGGGAGAATCGCTGGCTACAATCCTCTCTGGATGCAATAAACGAGGAAAGAGAAACAGGTAACGCAATTCTGTTGATGACTTGCGCGTGACACCAATGCCTCCTAGTCCTACTGGAAATGTAGCTTGGTTTCCACTGCCCCGTGCTTCCTAGAGTAAGGAGATAAGGAACTTTTCAGAAAAAATCCAGCCATCAGAATACAGTCCATAT